TTGTTGTCTATCTTGGCAACAAATTATTTTTTACAGCAAATTAGGAAAAACTTCCGAATACCATTTACGTCCGATTGTGCAGAACTTTTGCTGGAACATGAATATTCCAAATAATGTCAAATAAATGTCCTTAAATAGTTTTCCATCGATAAAAGCCGATAAAAATAAAGGATTTTTCAACAAAAAATATATAAATTAAAAAAAATTTTGGTAATTATCGACTATAGGGGAAGCAGCTCCAATCACCTTGATTTTGACATATGTTGTAGAGGTCACCCTCCGAAGATTTTAGGCGGCGCTTGTTGTTTGTTAAAAAGTTATGAACAGAAAAGTTTGAGTAAATTAAACGTAATTATTGGACATTTTTCGATCGAACGTCTCTCTTGCTACATTTTTCCTTAAAAATAAACTATACATTGCAATACGGTAAATAATGTATATATATGCGGGGCAGTGGCTCCACCCCGTATTTCGTTGACAATATATATATATATATATATATATATATATATATATATATATATATAAAAGCTTAGGTTTACGTATATACGTGTATTTTACCATATTTCAATAGATAGTTTAGATTAGGATTAGGTTAGGGACACACACACGCACACATACATACTGCTCGCCAGCAAGCGCGCTCGCCCGCCCGACAGGGCGGACTCGCGGTGGGTGCATATGTCCCTATCTCGTATATATATATACATAGTTTTAGTGTTTATGAGTTTAGAGTTTATGGGTATAGAGATAATGGGTTCAAGATATATTTAAGCGTATAATTTGTATGTTTGACTACAATTAATGTTTCTCCCAGGATGTATGACCATTTTTTTGGTACTATTTAAGATGTACTAGGTCATACAGAACCAGAATTTTAATTTCCACTTATAGTAAAAAAATCGCGGTTTTCCGATACTTTCCTTTCAGTCTAATCGAAGGGGTACTTCTCCTAGCCGTAGTATAGCCGAGCAGCCAATATATAACTTTATATGAACATTATTGACATTAAAGGTTTTTATTGCTGGAAAACCATTTAAGAACTTTCATTTTATATCATATAAAATTTATACCAAATTTTATTAATATCAGGCGTGGGTAGTTTTGGAAGTTTAGTTGCAAATTATCATCATTTTTTACAACAAACTTTCAACATTTTTTAATTATACGTTAATTAAGGAAGTAATGAATATCACAAAAGTAATAAAGAAACAAACGTATGATTGAATAAGTTTTACATGTCACAGATTATTCTTCAAAACCCTAACTTAAATAAAGCCATAATATATGAACCGATCAAAGCAGTTCTAGGAAATGGGCTCCTTACTGCTCCTGGTGAGATATCATAAAAAAAAAAACTTGTTTGCAACACATACATATATTTTTGATATGAAAAGGATACATAATTATTGCGTTC